TCTTTATACAATCAAAAATACTAAAATCTAATACAAAGGTCTTAATAGAAACTAGAAACATAGAATCCTTGTCCTCGACATATGAGGACATATCAAAAGGTCTTGAGAGAAACTCTAATCCCAAACTTCACTATAGAAAGCACTTCACTTGTCAACACCTACACTTATAGTAAAATATAGAAGAGGAATGGAGTTAGCATAATTAAATACTAAGTATGATGATCATGCAAAAACATGCAAAAAAAAATACATTTATTTGAGACACACTTTTATGCCATTTTCAATACAACTTCATAAACACAAGTATAAGAGGCACATTATAAGTCATCTACCACATACAAGACAATACCCACATTATAAACGTACTCAACTAGTACCAATATTCAACCATTCACATATTCTTCAAGTAACTCATGTCATCATCTTAGAACATCCACCTAAAGTTACCCTAAGCCACACATAAGTAATACATGGAGGGGTAGCCCATACTACCTCTTCACTCCACCACCTAGGTGTTCCTCAAGGCCACAATAGGTAAGGACCCTTCTATTTCAACTTAACATTCTAGGCAACTCATTCCATAAATATAATTACTCATTTATCTTTTCATTTAGGCTATAAATCAACATTCATTATTAGATACATTTAAGGTTACTTTCATGCATTTGAGGACTTTCACACAGTAGTCTTAAAGACTTAGGGAACTCACTTTAACACCTTCTAAGCCTACTCGTTCCATGTATAGATAGGATCCCATATTACTACCTACACGTTGTAAAACCTATAAGTAACTAGAGTGTACATCCCACATGATGGGAATATGCGTTAACCCACGTAGAGCATCTTTGCTAGACATGAAATTCGGTGTCATAAGACTCCACATGGTGGAGGGTGCTCTACTTGCCAAGGGTAGAACTAATTCACAACCCATGTTTGCACATGGTTTAGGGGATATCCAAAGATGTTGATTGGACTCTAGCCTTTTCTTCGGGAAGATACAATATCTTAACCATATCTGCTCGGTGCTAGACTTAGTTCCCATAGAGTAGTTCATTCATATGTATGTACTAGAGAGGGCGCCAACATTAGGTCCACCAACCCGATCTTCAGTTCAACAAATTTAGTGGTGAGTCCTCATTCTCCGAGGACAATAGTCATGAGTTCATTTCTGTCTTTTACTCATTTAGTTTCGGTTTTGCTACACTTAGCTGGAGCTTGTCCCAACATTTCTAGTCAGTTAGAGGCTTATTTCAGACATAGTTAATTTCAGCTTAGAATTGAGTTAATATTTCCTTTGTATTAAACTCATTGTTTTCAAATATCTCAGTTATAGAATATGGGTATTCACGATCTTTTCAGTTTAAAATTATGATTTAGCTTATGCATTTAGTTACTATATTTAGTATGCTCATGGCCATGCCAGCAGAGTTAGCTTGGGATCACTTGTGGTCCTAGGTTTCGTGTCCGCGTCTCGGGGGTAGCTTGGGGCGTGATAAACTTACAAATTGGTTTTTATAAGGTTGTTTTGCTGGAATTATTAAACTAAGAGCACAATTCTAAATTATATAATTATGCTGATAATACTGGTTGGTTTTAGCAGAAATTGTTTGCCTCAAATTATAGTTAGACTATTGATTATGAGAACAAATCTCTCAAATTAAATTTGATATGAGATGAGTTTATTTAACATGTACGCATCAGGCCAACAAGATTCTCCCATCAAAATTGGTTTAGGGTCAGGAACCAAATTATTTCCATCTAAATATTTGATATGTGTACATATGATTTTATTACTCCACCACGCACAAAGATAGATATCCAAATGAGGTTGAGGGTAAATGTTAGATATCCTAACATTAGAGGGAGATGTGTTTAGTAGTCGAAAATTATGTGTGGTCAATTATCTCGATCCTCGTCAAAAATGTGAACTTGAAGTTCAAGAGATAATTCATTTGCGAAATGTTGCTTTTCTGGATATATAAAAATGACCCAATATTTTATTTAAATTGTAAATGCTCCAATAAATAGTCCTTGAAGGGCAAAATCTATTATACACAAAAAGTGAAGACCAACCGATTCCAAACGTACAACTCCTTAAGGAAGGAGAAGAGAAAATTATCATAATGGTCATGATAATGAGGCAAGTACTTTGAAAAAGTACTACGACATAACACTTCATAATACCTTAGCAAAGGTTCAGGTACCTAAAATAATGAATAATGAAGACATCTCAATAAATTATGTCAAATTGGAATCAATATCAAAATAATTATCGATGGTATATTTGATATGAAGTAACACTAAATGCTATAAATGATTACGAGGATCTTCAATTCAAATTTGTCATATAATATGGATAGATAAATGATTGGCAAAATAAAATGCACGACTCGAATAAATTTTGCTTCACTTAAAAATGTTGTTTTTGAACTATAGTTCATAGTTCAAAAAATATGTCAGTGGGGTACAAATGAATAATTGTGCAGACGTATTACCGTAAGATATAAAGTATGGTTTGTGTCTTAGGACATAAAGGGCTTTCACAAAAGTCCTGACATTAGTTTCTTCAATAGTGAATGCAATAAGACTTATTTCAGTCTGGCAAAATGAATGATTATCATGTCTAACTAGACAGTGAAGGTTATATGAAAATCCTTAAAGATTTTAAAGGTCTTAAAACAATTCCATTGAGTACCCAATGGTTTTGAGACTGCTTAACAATGAAAAATTATCTTTTTGATCTCATGAAAATGATTTAAAATGTCATGTATTAGTGCAAGTGGTGCACTTACATATTGTTGGTTATGAAAATGATAGAAGATTATTTGATATACAAAGTTATGTGAAAGAATTGTCATATTATCATTCAAGTTATGACAAGAAACTAACGAAGCAAGTGATTCAACGCAAAAGACGTGTGATTTTCTTTGAGAAGAAAAGACGAGATTCAATAAAATTGAAATGATCAATCTTTGATTCAGAAATGATTTGATTATTTATATGCAAAATATTTATTTGATCCACATAAATCTCAATCACAAATAGACTATTTATTTATATATGGAGACACAATAATATATTGGCATTCGAAAGAATCACATTAGTAACCACTTCTTCAAATCATGCAGAAATAATATTGATCTATGAATTAATTTGGGAGTGTATTTGGTTGAAATCATGATCTATCATATTCAGAAAATATGTGATTTTCTTTTGAAAAAGATATTTCAATCACCATATATGAAAATATTATACAACTCAATTGAAGGGAGGGCACAATTAAAGGAGATCGGACAAAACATATTTTACCAAGTCTTTTTCACACATGGTCTTCAACCGAATGGTGAGATAGACGTTCAAAGACTCATTCAAGTGATAATCTTGTAAACTTTATTCACTAAGGATTGTCAACATCAATATTTGAGAAGTTGTGATATAAAATTGGAATGCATCGTCTCCGAGATATCACGTAAAATTTTTATCATGGGAAAAAAAATATGTGTTGTACTCTTTTTCTTAACCATGATTTTATCCCAATTGGTTTTCTTGATAAGGTCTTAAACGAGACAACATTCAAAGCGTATAAAAGATATGAACAAATTATAGAAATCACATACTTTTAAGGCAAAATTACAATTTATTCCCTTAAAAGTTTATAATTACAGAAATATGTCAAACATATACAATAATATAAGCGATGAACATTAAAAAGAGGGTCAGATTCATTAATGGGCAAAAAATTAAAGCGCTGATACATTAAAAAGAGGATCGGATATATTAATGGAGGGTCCAGATACATTAATGGCCAAAAAATCAAAGGCTGATACATTAAAAAGAGTCGGATACATTAATTGCATTTTAGCCTTAAGAGAAAAATGAGGAAATTTTTGGATTTGTAAAACTTACAGGAGATAAAGGTAATAAGTACACTAAAAAATGAGATTTTTGTTATTATGTGAATGTCCACTACACCAAGAAGTTACTCTCACCCATTATCTCCATTACTTTATTTACTCCATTATGAAGAAATCATAACCTCCCACCTTTATGCTTTTATGTTACACTATAAAAAGAGATATAAGAGTTCACATTGTATAGACTTGGGATGTACACTTGAAAAAAAAAGTTATCTCATATTGCTCCTCTTGTCCTATACTCTTCTTGTCTTCCTCTTTATATCGTTCTTTTATTCTTAAGTTTTACAACAAATTATAATTAAATAAGTGCCTTTAGGTTTTAATTAAAGGAGACAGGGAGAAGATGATGATTTTGCACATTATTTGTGTGGGTGGATGAAATGAAAGCTCCTTTCTAGAGTATTTTGTGAAAAAAATGTGTAATTAAGGTTTTAAAAAAGTAAGTTCTATAAAGAGATAGTAAAAAAAATATTGTAGAACATGACAAAGTGTTGGTGAATGAAGAATGTCCATGTTTAGAAGATGAAGATGCGTGAATGGATATGTGGGTTAAACAAAATTTGTTAGTTAGAAATGTGAGAGGCTGATTGTAGAAGAAATCAAAGTGGTAGAGTTAGTTATCCGAAAAGAACTAGGAAGAAGGGGACTAGATAGAACTTGACATAACTTCAACTTACATAGAAGACAGCTAGCTCCCCCCCCCCCCCCCCCCCCCGGTTTCCTCGTCTCATTATTGTTTCATTTGCTTTGTATCTTGCTATTTGATTGTTATATTTTTCGTGTAATCCTACTTCAACATCACTTTTAAGCTGAGGATCTATAAAAATAGTCTCTCTAGTCTCTGTCCCTTAACACTCTTATTAAATAAAATTTAAAAAGTTGACTACAATTTACATGATAAATATTTCAAATTATTTATTAATTTAAACAACACAAATAATAAAATGATTCTTTATATCTTCTCTGTAATGTAACACTCACAAAACACTTCTTAGAGAAAATTGACCAAACCTTAAGGTCATAAACTATTTATCTAATCAACAACATATCTAAGTATATTCTTATACATGGAGTCGAAGAGAATTCAATATACACAAATCTTATCCTTACCTTTTTCAATTAACAGTTTTTCAAATCATTTAAGCCAATCATAACCTGCTAATGCTCACAAAATACACTTTTCGAAAACTTCACTTTGACCACAAAAATGTTTTTCTATAGGAGAGAACAAAGCATAAGGTCCTATTAACTGCTTGGACTAAAATTTGTTACTAAGTGAATACTGTTGGAGTAGACAAAATGTTTCTCTTCCTTTCAATTTTGTGTGGGAGTTGCTAAAGGGTATTTCTATTATAAGGGAAGAGTGAGATTGTCTGAGCTAGCGTGCACACTTCACAAGGACCAACTAGTGCGGAATACCAATGCAGGAAACGGAGTGGCTCCTTCATTCATCACATAGAGTAGACCTGGTTGACACTTGCACGTCTTTCCTACTTTGAAATTGAGAAAGCTTTCAATTTGAAAACGGTCATAATTTCTTCGACCTTGTTGCAAACCACCAAGGCTCAAACCCCATCCAAAATCATCCTTAGAGGTATCAGACATGGTAACTGCCCACTGTAAATGTTTGGGATTTGATCTTTTCATCTCTACCCATCCACCAATTTTTGTACTTTCATAAACTTCTGACTCTAGGGTCATGGCATGATATCCATCCAAGGCGCTGTTTTCCACAAAGGCCGCATCAGGATGCCCTGAGCGTTGTAAAAAACAAAAAGGCAGCGACATAGCTGCGAGTTCAGGCTGTTGCCGTGACAGCATGGCCATTTTGTGTATGCCCAAGATTGATAGTTTTGTATTGCTTGAAAGTTGGCAAACAACTTGACCAAAAGTGCCAAAACAATACAAAAGACTACCAGACTCTGACTCTGGCAATGCAGAGACAAACTGAGCAAAGCAGCCAACAATATTTGATTTTTTAACCATCACAGAGATTCCACTACCATTTAGCTGATTCAGCAAGGGCGGCCCAAAAGATGAATAGTCAGTCAGCCCCCTTTCCTGCAAAATTCCACAAAAAAATTGTTATTCTAGGCTACACATTAAGGCAACTAAAAATGATGTAATATAACAAGTAGATACAATATGCAACATCTGCAACAACCAACAAATGACTCCCGAGGGGATCTTGCTTGTCAGATTACTATGATCACAAATCAGAAAGCACATTCAGTATTCAGAAGCATTTACCTCACGTGAACTTGTACGTACTGCAACATCTCTGCATCGACCACAGACTGGAATGGCAACTGCAGTACACCAATCACTGATATGTGCTGCATAGAGAACTTTTGCTAAGGAAAGTGGACTACCCAGGATATCCCTTTGGCCTCTTTCGCTGCCAACAAACTCTGCTACAAGTGAATCCTTTTCACGGATAGTTGTTTCAAAAGTCAGCCTAGAATCAATGCCAGTCCTAATTGCATTTTCAATTGCACGGCACTTGGTTCCATCGATGGTACCGATCATCAACAGTGCACCCACAGCATCAAATTCTCCTCTTACGTGAGTGCTAGTTTCTTGGACTGGACTTTCTTTAGAAGATTTAAAGAATGCAAGCACTCGCTCCAACTTCTCTTGTCTGTCTCTTAGCTTCATAATATCTGAAAAAGATTCTCGTTGCAATCTCTCCAAGATTTCATTCTGTAAATGATATTATTGGAAAAGTTGTAAAGCACCATCATACAGACTGTTGCTACATAAGAATTAGCAAATATGTCAAAATTAAAGCTTGCCGAGGGGAGTGCAGTTTGGAAACAGTGATATCTTAAAGCTAATGAGAGTAACAAATCCCAACCAAAATGTCAAAATAAATCGGGTTAAGTATTTTTTTTTTCTCTCGATAAGTAAAAGGATCGTTAAAAGAGATTTTTCTATTACATATGGATAACTCTTTAGTCAATATTATTTCCTGGGAAGCCACATCATACAGGCATCATCACACAGCAGATAATAAACATAAAAGAATTTGATCTAGTGACAATGGAAAAGATAGGAAAAGATGGGAAAAAATAGACGAACTGGAAGAAACTAGATGAGGTTAGGGTACACAGCCAGAGCCTTCTCATACTTAAGAAACCCATCAGAGTAAAGCAGAGCCCAATAACAAAGCTTGTGCTAACTGGCAAAGTAAGAATTTAACTGCTCAAGCTCTGACTACTTCCTAATGACACTGTTCTGCAGTTGAACGTTGCATGACAGGTAACAGATATACCCACTTTAGATCAATAGTACAAAAGTAGGGACGCAAACAGTCTCACCTTCCAAAAAGAGCCAAAACTACCATTATCACATAAGAAATAACATTTTCATACTTGCTTGGATCCCTCACTCTGTATAACTTTTACTGCACATTCTTTTAGGATCATAAGTTGGGAATTTGAATATAATACATATGTGATCCAATGGTGTTCTCTTTTTCCCAAAACATCTATCAGACCTGTCCCAGTAGGGAGGCCTAGAAGTCAAAGAGCCGCATTAACAATTTTCTTTTATGACTGTGAACTTCACAAGGAGCCAGCCCTTTGAGCCAACACCATAGCCTTCAAAACTTGGGGATGATGGATTTCCCTTCTAGTCTCAATCCTTCTCAACTTAATTACAGGACTTAGTAGCTAGTTTACTTGGCACAGGGCTGGAATCTGTGATCTAAGAACAAGTCCCTCAACCTTCCTCTTTTTAACAATCTAGGGAATCAAGGTTCCAGTCCTAATTATAACATATGTAAAACTAAGTAAATTCTTTCCATCAACCTAAATGTTTGGGGACAAAGCTTATCAATACCATTGTTAGTCAAGGAACCTCTAAAAAAAAAAAACAGAGATGTAAGCTCATAATATCCAAATACCAAAAAACTGATAAAGCCCATAGAAGTAATCCATTCCGCTGAACAAAACCAGCATAGCATAAGTCTCATTCTACTTTCTTTACTCATATTCTATAGGTCAATCGGCTTCAACAGGTGAAAAAAAATCAAAATTATCAAATTACTGCTTGAAAACAAATGCAATGAAACTGAAATAACCTTTAATGAGACAGCATAATGTTGCTACTTAACAACGCATACTAGAGCAAATAGGTTTTTATATAATTACTGGCAATCAAAAGAAACAAAAACAAAAAGAACATCTAGTGTCCATCCCAACAGAAATGTTGCATAGGGAAAAAATGAAATGTATCCGAACTAATACTTGAAAACAACAACATACCCAATATAATCACACAATTGGGATCCAAGGAGAGTAGTGTATACACAGCTTACCCCTCTCTATATTATCTCTTTTGATAATCTAGTCAACTTTCAAGCACCTTAACTAGTTCCACAAGATACCTAATACCTCACACAAGCAACAGACACCAGGTAAATCTGTCCACCAAGACAGATAGCAAGAAATCACCAGTATTTTTTGTCTAACAAATCACATAAACAACAAGCATCAAGTAAATTAATCCATCAAAGATAGAACAGATAACAAGTAAGCAGTAATGTTTTTGTAACAACTCACACAAGCAATCCATCAAAGCTAGAAGCATCAGGTAACTCTAACCATTAAGACTAAAACAAATCGCAAGAAATCACTAGTGTTCCTGTCTAACAACTCACACAAGGAACAAGCACCAGTTAACTCTAAGACAAATAGCAAGAAATCACCTGGTCTTCATTGACAATTAGGCCAAAATTTTACTTCTATCCGCAAATGGATCTCTATACAATGACCGGAAAAAACAAAATACACAGTTAATTTACCGGATTGCGGTTGCGGAACACGACGGAAGCCAAATTCTGCGTAGATTTTGCAAAGGATTTTAACTTGTCTACAACTGAAACAGCTCCTCCTTCCATTTTTGAAAACCTAAATGTATGAATCACAAGAAGGAAAAAAAAAAGCTTCGATGAGTTGTGTTAATGGCGTTTCAACAATGGAATTTCACTTTTTCTCTACTCTCCCGCCATAACTGTATAGTACAAGTTTGTTACAGAGAAGATGGAAATGAAAATTGAAATTTAATTTAGATATATTGCTATATCTTATAATCAAGAAATTATTATGTTAACTTATTAATGTATGTTTTTAAAATTATATATTGAAAAATAAATTATTTTATAAATTTTGTGATTCCTATATATATATATTACAGTCGAAACTTAAAAACTTAAAATGAACGAGACAAGTATATACTATGTCATCTTTTATTATTAGTTTTCTAATATTTTTTATCAAATAATTTTTAATAACTCACTTGATTGATCGGATTAATTATTTTATATTCACTTTCTTCATTTTTTTATTTTTTTTCTCTCGTTTTTTTTTTAAAAATGGAGGTGAAAGAAGAAGAAAATAGGATAAAAAAATTTCAAGATGAAAATAAAATTTTCGTAGTTAATTTAAAATAAACAATCAATTAATACCTTTTTTTTTGTATAAAAATAGTCGTCAAGAATTGACTATGAAACTATATATATAAGGTTAATTTTACTTGGGATTAAGCTGAATGATTAATGTTATTGTCATTGTCTATTTTTTTCCACCTATGACTATGTATACTTTTTTTTTCTTAATTTAAAACTTATTTTATATTTTATTTTATAATTATGCTCATTGTTTTGATTATTACATAAATTTTTAATTTATTTTGTTTTGTGTGTTGCGGCTAATGGAAAAGATAATCTTTAAAGGAATAGAACCCCTGGTTGGAACCCAGGCGCCCCCCCCCCTCCGCGAGACCGATTCGTTTGGTCCGACAGGGAGAGTGGAAAGCCTTAGTGGAATCATCGAAACACACAAAATATATTATTATGACTTTATGAAAAAAAAAATTTGTGCGATCGAAAGATCTCCTAAGAAGCCATCAAGCACGAAAGCAGCAAGGAGTGTGCTAGTGAGTCCTAAGCGAAGGAAAGAAGGACATGAGAGGCATAGAGAGGACTCAAAAGAGAAGTCCCTTTAATCGTCGGGCATGTTCAAACATGCCCCGCCAGGAAAACTCGAATATTTTGGGTTCACATGAAAATTGCAAAAAGGATGGTGGATGGTGATAGTGAGCAATTTATTTGAGTGTAATTGGAATTATTATTTTCTTAGTGTGCAACTGATTCTTTGATTTATAACAATAATTCACTAATTTAGTTAAATTTTTTTAAGGATTAATGGCGAGTCCTATTATATTTGGCTTATTATATCTTTGATTGAGGGTAAGACGAAGGATTTAAGTCCTATCTTACTAAGAGGGTAATACATCGCGTGAGAGTCTTGGTTCACCATGATAATGAAATGTTGGGTTGTGTCCAAACAATTAATGACCTAAGATGCCTTTTAATGAGTAAGAAGTCGGATTCAAGTCGCAACGGCATATAATGATGATGTGATGATGACTGAGCAAATTGATATGCTCTTGATAAAAGTCATGAAATTTGTCCAATTGATTTGGTCCTTTCTCTTATGTGAATATAATAGGAGGACATCATGTGTCTGAAAACGACAAGTGATTAAATGTATGATATGAGTATGATAAAATGTTAAGGAAAAATTACCTAACTACGCATCATTTTTTAGCTCGCACGACAATGAAAGAGTGTTCTAGTCCATAGCTTCTCAAAATGAAATTGATAGGAGACCTAACTTTGAAATGAAATATGTGATTTTGATGGTAATGAATATGAGATATGATATGGATTATTTAAAAGAGGGTTGGTTTATGGGTCGAATTAGGGGCATAACTGAGTCCTTTGTTATGGGTCAGATAGGTGTTTTGAAAGTGGATCAGATACTTTAGGGGCATAATCGACCCCTTTCCCTTTCAATATAACTAGTCTTTGCTCACGTGCAATACACGTGTACCCTATTAATTAATATTTTGTTTTTTTAAAATGACACAAGTATAAAATATATAAATGAGGCATAAAGTAGATTTTTTAGAAAAATAATCATAAACTTGAAACAATGAAGGGTGACATGTATACTCCAAATTTTGTGAATTAATTGAAACGTCAAGTAATATTACCCTATTATCAAATATAGATATGAGAACCATATATTTATTCACTGGTCATTTGTATTACATACACTTGTATTATATATATGCATGACTTTTCAATTTAATTGGTACCATAAAAGTGAGGTTCAACCATATTATTTTAATTGTTACCATAAAAGTGGCATTACTACGATGACTTTCTGAAAGTTAATGTCTCTATAATCCTATACTATGTGTTGACAGTAATAACTACATTTCTTAAAGGATGAAAAAGTTCGTCAAAGAACCAACAAAAATTGAAATTCCAAGATAAAAAATAGAAAACTATCACATAACGTATAAAATTGAGCAATACCTCGAGAATACATTTCAAAATTACTAAAAATAGTCAAAAAAAACAAATATAAAGAAACATTCAATGATACAACATATGAACAAGACCACACAAAAATAAAATAATAATTGTGTAAACCTCTTCTAGTCTAGATTGAAACCATAATGAGGCTAAGCATATCAAATACCATAAAACCAACAAAAAAGTTGATATTCAAAGAATACATCAAAATCTAATATTAAGAAAGAAGAATCAAAGGCAAATAACACTAAAAAGATCACACAAAATTAACAAATTGTATTACAGATTCTTAGCACAATTTGATGAAAACAAGATCAAAAACTTAAAGAAAACATATTAAAATACAATAAACAAAATCAAGATTAAATAAATAAAATAATAAAAAAGAAAAAAACATAAAGATTTAGTATGAATGAAATTACCTTTAGTGTCTATACTACTTCTTGTATATCTTTTCTCTATTAACAACCAAAGGTGATAAAGAAATAATCACTGACACAGTCCCAAACCAAAATTAAATTGATTTTGATAAAGAAGAATTGATATACACATTTATTAAGAAAAATACAACTTTTGGTCTTTCCTCTTCTTGTAACTATTTCCCAAAAGAATTTGAATCAGTGTGTCTAGAGGCTTGAATTTAAATAAAAAAATATTATCTAATATTAAATTAATTATATATTAATATTTATTTAGTTTAGAGATAAAATAAGGGCAAAATAATAATTTAACTTTTAAGTTAAGAGCTTCATGCTTATAATAATATATGATTGTCATGTGGTAATGTAAAATAACGTGGCAATTCTATTTGGCATTCTAAAAAGGAAAAATGCACAAGTACCCCCTTATGACTGAAATCCAAGAGACACACCTTAACTAAACTATAAGGTCTTATTACACCCCTGAACTTTTTTTTTTTTTGGTAATTTTGTACACCTTTTTAGCTTACGTGACATTCAAATATCTCTCACGCGCCTCAATTGAGTGGAGTACGATGTGTATTTAAGTTAATTAAGGTGACTTGGGGCAAATGAAATAGAGGCTCGTTTCTAGAGCATTTTATGATGAGCAAAATGTTAGTCAATGAAGAATGTCCATGTTTAGAAGTCGAAGATGTTCAGATGGATATGTGTGTTAACTAGGAGATATGATTAGGAATGAATTTATCTGAGCAAGTGGGAGTGACATTTGTGACAAATAAGATGAGTGTAACAAGGATGTGTAGTTTTGAAGTGTGAAAATGAAGTGTAAGGAGTTAATGATGCGTTAGTTAGGAGATGTGAAAGATTAATTGTAGAAAAGGCAGGAGAGGCAGAGGTAATACTGAAAAAGAACTAAGGGTAACGGACTAAACATAATTTGTTAATGGCCCAAGAGGTGGTAACCGAAAAGAACTAGGGATAATGGAGATAGGGATGACAATGGGGTGTGGTAGGTTGAGCTTGACCCGTAAATTTTTTTAAGGACAACTTTCACGTATAGCAAACATAAAATTCATATTTGAATGCTATAGCAAAGTTTGTATAATTGCACTCCACAACAAACATATAAATGTATAATTCGCTATACATATACAATTGAAGCGAACTATATAAGAGGAAGTGTATAAAACGAGAAAGAGAAAGAGACTTTGGCAGAGAATTGTATAAAAACGAAGTGTATAAAAGCAACTGTATAATTATAAGTGTATATAACGATTATATACAGTTTAAATTTGTATAAAATGAGAAAGAGAGAAAGGCAAAAGAGACTTGGGCATATACAATTGAATCGAATTGTATTAAACGAGAAAGAGAAATTATATACAATTTGAATTTGTATAAAACGAGAAAGAGAGAAAGGCAAAAGAAACTGGTAGGAGAATATTTTTATTGTATATTATAAGTGTATAAGACGAAAATATATGTATATATATATATATATATATATATATACACACACACACACAATTTTTACTCGCTTTATACAAACAGAAACACAATTTATACATTTCACTTCTGTTTGTATAAGCGAGAGAGGCGAGGGTGGAGAGTGAGATTAGGGAGAGTGGCGAGCGTGATCTGGGAGAGGGGAGAGAGGGGAACAACAATATATGTATTTATACAATTTCCTCTGCTTTACACAAATAGAAACAAATTTTATACACTTGTATTTGTATAAAAATTAGAGGAAGCGAGCGAGAGATGGAGCGAGAGAGGAGAGTGGCGAGCGAGAGTTTAAGGAAGATAGGTGATTGACAAACAGTTTGCTACTAGACACAATTAAATCAAAGGATGGTTATAGCAATTAATTTGATTTATTAGTTTGTCATTATATACAATTTTTCTTTTTTAATCCGCCCCACCCCGCACGCCATAGACGTACCCCACATAATTTTATTTAATATTTTCTTTTTATAGTTAAATTTGATACTAAATAATAAAGTTCATAAAAATAATTTATCTTTTCACTAAATTATATTAATTTAATAGGATGGTGACTTAAATTATTTTTTTGTAAGTCAATTAGAAAACATGTAAAAAATTGTATTATTTTTTATTGAACCATATTCATTTATTATTATAATATTTTAGTAACTTTAAAGAAATTATCAAAAGACGTAACGTTTTACCACTCTTATAACCTCTAAAAAATTAAAATTAAGTTTAAACCCAAATAAATTACATATTCTCACAATCCGCTCCGCCCTGCATTAAATTTAAGAAAACATACTTCAACCCACCTTGTATCCCACACGCCCATCCCCACATAGCCATAAATTCATCCCACCTGGTCCTATTATCATCCCTAGATTCGGATTAGAGGGAACTTGACACAAATTTAACTTAGAGATACCCCCTTCTTTTCTCGTTTCAGTACTTGTTTTATTTTCTTTGTACCTCACTATTTGATTGTTGTATTTTCTCTTAACATTCTAATTCAATAACATCGTTTTTAAATCGAGGATCAATAATAACAATCTCTCTACACCTTGATGATTCTTCTATTAAATATAATCTAAAGAGTGTACCCCTAAAACTTCCTTTAAAATAAAATATTAAAAAGTTAATTACAATCTCACATGATTAAACATTTAATATTATTTATTGCTCCAACACAAATCATAAAGTGATTCTTCTAATACTCATAAAACACTTGATCAAACAATATCTAACCAACAACAACATATCTAAGTATATTCTCATAAATGGAGTCCGAAGAGAATTTGATATACACAAAACTATCTTTTACCTTTGTCAACGCTAGTGTTTCTCAAATCATTTGGCCAATCATAACCTGCTATGCTTACAAAAATACACATATCGGATACTTCACTTTGACCACAAAAAAGTTTTTTTAAATGCTTGACCAAGCAGTTGATATAGGAAAGAACAAAGCACTAAAATTTGTTACTAAATTGAACACTGTTGGAGTAGACAAAATGTTTCTCTTCCTTTCTATTTTACGTGGGAGTTGCTAAAGGGTATTTCTATTATAAGGGGGGAGTGTTTTTCTTATGTCTGAGCTAGCTTGCACACTTCATAAGGACCAATTAGTGCGGAACATCAATGCAGGAAACTGAGTGGCTCCATCGATCACATAGAGTAAACCTGGTTGCAACTTGCACTTCTTTCCTACGTTGAAATTGAGAGAGCTTTCCACTTGAAAATGGTCCCACTTTCTTGGACCTCCTAGCAAACCACCAAGACTCAAACTCCATCCAAAATCATCCACAGAGGTATCAGACATTGTAACTGCCCACTGCAAATACTTGGGATTTGATCGTTTCATCTCTACCCAGCCACCAATTTTTGTACTTTCATAAACTTCTGACTCTAGGGTCATCGCAAGATACCCATCTAAGACGCTGTTTTCCACAATGGCCGCATCAGGATGCCCTGACCGTTGTAAAAAACTAAAAGGCAACGACATAGCTGCGAGTTCAGGCTGTGGACGTGACAGATTGGCCATTTTGTGTATGCCCAAGATTGATAGTTTTGTATTGCTTGAAAGTTGGCAAACAACTTGACCAAAAGTGCCAAAACAATACAAAAGACTACCATCGCGTGGCAATGCAGAGACAAACTGAGCCAAGGAGGAAACAGTATTTGATTTTTTAACCGTCACAGCAATTCCACTACCATTTAGTTGATTCAGCAGGGGCGGTCCAAAAGATGAATAGTCAGTCAGCCCCCTTTCCTGCAAAAATTCCCCCAAAAAATTGTTAATCTAGGCTACACATTAAGGCAACTAAAAACGATGTAATATAACAAGTACAATATGCAACATCTACAACAACCATCTAATGACTCCCCTCGGGATCTTGCTTTTACATGAAGCTACATAGAAAGACAACTGAAAGATGTAATATAAGTATATAACAAGTAAATACACTACGCAACAAGCCAACAACCATGTTATGACCTCCCCCCCCACCACAAAATCTTCCTTGTCAACCTGTTGATTTCTTGTCATTCCTCAATCCTCATTCCTAATAAGTGCGAAAACTTTTGCACCTCAGATCTGCAACTCGATATTTTCTTTTGGTTTTGGTGAGTACATCTGCAACTTCATTTTATAGGAATTTTGACCAAACCTTTTTTTGGGAGACTGGTAACAAAACTTTTGACCTTATTACTTTGGCAACTTCTTGCTGATACTGACAATACCAAAAAGAATCGAACATGGAATTGATAACTATGATCACAAATCAAAAAGCACATTCAGTATTCAGAAGCATTTACCTCACGTGAACTTGTAGGTACTGCAACATCTCTGCATAGACCACCGACTGGAATGGCAACTGCAGAACACCAATCACTGATATGTGCTGCATAGAGAACTTTTGCTAAGGAAAGTGGACTACCCAGGATATCCATTTGGCCTCTTTCGCTGCCAACAAACTCTGCTACAAGTGTATCCTTTTCACGGATAGTTGTTTCAAAAGTCAGCCTAGAATCAATACCAGTCCTAATTGCTCTTTCAATTGCATTGCGCTTCGAATTATCAATGGTACCGATCATCAAAAGTGCACCTACAGCATCAAATTCTCCTCTTACAAGAGTGCTACTTTCTTGGAATGGACTTCCTTTAGAAGATTTACAGAATGCAAGAACTCGCTCCAACTTCTCTTGTCTGTCTCTTAGCTTCATAATATCTGAAAAAGCTTCTCGCTGCAATCTCTTCAAGATCTCAATCTGTAAATGATATTATTGGAAGAGTTGTAAAGAACCATCATACAGGTTGTTTCTACATAAGAATTAGCAAATATATCAAACTAAAGCTTCCCGAGGGGAGTGGAGTTGGGAAACAGTGATATCCTACAGCTAATGAGAGTGACAAATCCCAACCGAACTATGTAAAGATAAATTTGGTATTAGGTATATTTTTTTTCTTTCGATAAGTAAAAGGATCATTAAATGATATTTTTCTGTTACATATGGGTAAGTCTTTATTCAATATTATTTCCTGGGAAGCCACATAATACATGCATCGTCGTACAGCAGATAGTAAACATAAAAGACTTTGATCTAGCAACAATGGAAATGATAGGAAAAGATGGGGAAAAGAAAAAGAACTGGCAGAAACTAGATGAGGTTAGGGTACACAGCCAGAGCCTTCTCATACTTAAGAAACCCATCAGAGTAAAGCAGATCCCAATTACAAAGCTTGTGGTAGCTGGCAAAGTATGAATTTGACTGCTCAAGCTCAGAGTACTTCCTAATGAAACTGTTCTGCCGTTGAATGTTGCATGACAGGTAACAGATATACCCACTTTAGATCAATAGTACAAAAGTAAGGATGGTACAATCACACCTTCCCCTGACCTTCTAAAAAGAGCCACAACTAGCATTCTCACAGAAGAAGTAACATGTTCATAACTTTTACTGTTCTCCCCTCTAGTCTCTATCCTTCTCAACTTAATGACAGGTCTTCTTAGTAGTTAGTTCACTTGGCACAGGGCGCGAATCTGTGTCCTAAGAAAAAGTCCCTCAACCTTCCCCTTTTTAACAATCTAGGGAATCAAGGTTCCAATCCTAATCAAAACATATGCATAACTAAGTAAGTTCTTTCCATCAACCTAAATATTTGGGGACAAAGCCAATCAATACCGTTGTTAAAAGAAACAGAAACAAAAACAAAAAGAACATCCAGTGTCCATCCCAACAGAGATGTTACCTCATAATATCCAAATACCAAAAAACCGATAAAGCCCATAGAAGTAATCCATTTGGCTGAACAAAACCAGCATAGCAAAGTCTCCTTTTACTTTATTTACTCATATTCTATAGGTCAATCGGCTTCAACAGGTGAAAAAAATCAAAATTATCAAACTACTACTTGAAAACAAATGCAATGAAACTTAAATAACCTTAATGAGACACCACAATGTTACTACTTAACAACGCATACTAGAGCAAAGAGGTTTTTATATAATGACTGGCAATCAGCTTGCATAGGGGAAAAATGAAATGTATCCGAACTAAAACTTGAAAACAACACCATATCCCGTGTAATCACACAATTGGGATCTAGGGAGGGTAGTGTATACACAGCTTACCCCTCTCTATATTATCTCTTTTGATAATCGTAGTCAACTTTCAAGCACCTCAACTAGTTCCACAAGATACCTAATACCTCACACAAGCAACAAACACCAGGTAACGCTATACACCAAGACTAAGACTAAGACAGGTAGCAATAAATCACCAGTATTTTTTGTCTAACAACTCACACAAATAACAAGCATCAAGTAAATTTGTCCATCAAAGATAGAGCAGATAACAAAAAATCAATAATGTTCTTGTAACAACTCACACAAGCAATCCATCAAAGCTAGAACAGATAACAAGAAATCACTAGTGTCTTTGTCTAACAACTCACGCCATGTAACTCTATCCACACCAAGACTAAAACAAATAGCAAGAAATCACTAGTGTTTTTGTCTAGCAACTCTCACAAACAACAAGCACCAGTTAACTCTAAGACAAATAGCAAGAAATCACCTAGTCTTCATTGACAATTAGGACAAAATTTTACTTCTATCCGCAAATGGATCTCTATACAATGACCGGAAAAAGAAAATACACAGTTAATTTACCGGATTGGAACCTTCGCGGTTACGGACCACGCCGGAAGCGAAATCCTGCGTAGATTTTGAAAAGGATTTTAACTTGTCTACAACTGAAACGGCTGCTGCTTCCATTTTTGAAAACCTAAATGTAAGAATCACAAGAGAAATAAAGCTTTGAGATTCAACAATGGAATTTCACTTTTTCTCTACTCTTCCGCCATAACTGTATAGTACAAGTTTGTTATAGAGAATGGAAATGAAAATTGATATATATATATATATATAAAATTTAATTTAGATATATTGCTTATATTAAAAATGTTTTTATTTTTATAACTTTACTCTCTCCATAATATATATATTATATCGAAATTTAAAGTCTCAACGTTATATATTGACAATGTGATGATTATCGAATAAATTGATATACTCTTACGTACACGTAGCAGCAGGACGTAATATGAATATGAATGAATGCAGTAAGTCATACAAATGTCAATGGTCAATTGTGGTAATTTAAAGGAAAAATATTATGGAATCTTAAGATAACCTTCACATTTGAAGATAATTTTTAGCCATCAAAATGGTATAAAAGCTTACTGGTCACATTGGGTTGGTGCAACTCAATTTGACAATTTTGTAAATCATCTATCAAAATAAAGATAAAAAAATAATAATACAACTAGAATGAGGTAAATCAAATAAATTTGATAATGCTAAAGTGTAACTAATAAAAATTTATGAAGCATGTTCAAATGGTTATGGTCATTTCTTGAAAAGAATGTGACTTTTGTTCGTTTGGATAAAGACATGTTCATGTATGATTAAATAAACGTCGTATTTCACCTCTACAGGAGATTTAAGATATTGAAAAAATATATTTTGACATGAATGATCATTTTGGTAATATACTTTAGTAACTATATAAATATTGTGGTATGTTTTATTATGAACTATTGAAAGACAAAATAAAATAAATACTAATTCTTTTCTATAAAAATTATGGTCATGATCAAAATAAATATTATTGTGTGAAAACACAAATTTGTCATTAGTTGTCAAGAAATAAATCTTGTACGTAATAATTTTAACCATGACAATTATAATATTTTTCTCCTTGAAGGAGATGGTCACCATGAGAAGAGTCTGAGAGTTGTGGTAGTACACAAAATTAATTGAGAGTTTCAAAAGGACTAATTTATTACTATCCGGAGGAATGAAATAGTTCATAGTATTGGGGTTTAAGTTAGTTTCAAAGGAAACTTTTTAAATTTCGGAAGAATTGAAAGAAAAAAAAATTACAATATTGAGACGGTAAATTATTTAAAGATTAAATATCTTCAATTTACTATAATCAAAGCACGTTATGAATATTTACGTAAATGTTACCCGTCTTTCTCTTGTTTGATGTATAAAAATATAGATATGATGAAGAAATCGCATGCAAAAGTAAATAAAAAATTTACTAGAATAAATATGAGTTGGCATAACCGATTGACCATTTTGGTTCAATGTGATGCAAAAGAAAATTGAGAATTCATGTGGCTATATGTTTGAAGAAATAAAAGATTCTTCAAGAATTCTCTTGTGTTGCGTGTTCTCATCATAAAATGATCATGTACCGGCTAAGGTTGGGATCGTATACCCTAGAATTATTTGAAACATATAAAAAGGTGAATATGACCCGTTTACTTACCATGTGGATCGCTAACTGCTATGATTTAATAGATGCATCTATTGTATGACCAAATGTGCATTTGTTTCAAATTACATATTGATTTTTGTAAGGTTATTTGCTCAAATTGTTAAATGCACTATTCCAAATTATATAATTATGTTAATAATACTGGTTGGTTTAGAAGAAATTATTTGCCTCCAATTATACGTATAGACCATCGATTATGAGAACAAAACTATCAAATAAAATTTGATATGAGATGAGTTATTTAACATGCATGCATCAAGCCAACAAGGTTCTCCAATCACAATTGGTTTAGAGTTAGGAATCAAATAATTTCATGTAGAGAAAAGACATAAAGAGACCATCGAAGTTGTCTCATATTTGCATAAAGACACCTAAACTTTTGAAGTGTCCTATCACACCACTAAACAACTATATATCGTTGTAAATTGGCCATTTTTAGTCATTCCATCATCTATGTAATGCGTGTGTTGCTCACTCTCTAGGTAACCCAACCCGACCCTTTTTTTTAAAGATAATTCGTCAACTCCTTTCATTTCATTTATCAACTTTTCCCTAAAAAATCAAATGAAATACACTGTGTTCTTATTGTTGATAATAGTGTTGTTGTTGATATTCTCGTTCTTGATAATTGTTGATCGTTGTTGATGTGTATTTGTGAAGATTCTTGGAGATTGAAGGTCTAACAGGTTAGGGTTCTAAAATCTACACTTTTTTTTCGATTATTCTGATTTTATGGATTATTATAGTGTAGAAGTGTTGGAATCGACCTCCTACAGTTGCCATTGTTAGGATATTTTTGAGTATGTTGGGTAATTGACTTAGTTAGTGTAGGGTATTGTGTTATTGACTTAGTGCAACTGTTAGTGATTAGGGTTTTGTGATTGTGTTTTAGGTTAGGGTTAGATGTTATCCACTTAGTTCGAATCTTATTATTTGTCTCTTATACAATTGTAGACTTCAATTTGTACACTAACAACTGCTATTGTTAGTGTTTTTGTTCTGTTAGTACTGTTAAAGCTTAATGTTAGTGCTTTATTCTACTTTTGTTAGTTAGTGTTTCTGTTGTTGTTGTTTGTTAGTGATTATGTTTGTTGTGTACAACTTGTTAGAGTTAGTTATTGAAATGTGTGTGAATTGTGTTTGTTGTTGTTACATGATTTTTCAGGATGGCTTTTACTCTTATAGCTTTAAGATGGTATCATGGTGGGGAAATAGATTTTGATCCACCACCTAAATATATTGGGGGCATGTGACAGAATTCTTAGATGTAGATGTTGATAGGATATCTTATTTTGAGTTGAGGGACTACATAAAGGAACTAGGATATACAATAGATTGTGATTTTTTTCATCAAGTGGGATGGGTTATTGGTCCTTGTTGATAATGATAAGGTTATATTTAACCTTTTCAATATGGTGAATGATGGGGATACAGTGAAGGTGTATGTTTTTCATTGGGTTAGTGAAGCTAATAAGGCCCCACTTGAATTGGAGTTTGTCCCCCATGTGACTGAAAGTGGGGTAGGTGAGGAATCTTTTAATGAGACTTCTAACCCTAATAATCAACCTCCTACTTCTACTTTTCCTTCCATCCTACAACTGGTCCTCCTGAAACTTCCAGCACTCCATTTGAATCTCAGTCTTCTACTGTGCCTCTACCATCTCCTTCTATTGTGTCTCCTCCTTCATCTGATTATCCTATAATAAATGATGATCCAACTGATGATGAAGTGGAAGATGAATCAGGATCTGAAGGGGATACTATTGAAGATACTGAGGTTGACAGTGATGTTCATCAAGAGTATGTAGATATAAGGGCAACCAAGAGTCATTTCAAAAGGTCACAAAGGAGAAGTAGGGGAACTACTTCAGATCAGATTAATATTAATGACAAAGGTCTACATATAGGGTATGATGAGACAAATAATGGTATTAGGGAAAGCTTAGTTGGTAAGCTAGGAGGTGATGAACCTTATTATCTAAGTGATGAAGTTCCTAGCTTTGAAATAGATGGTGAAGAGGTTGATCAAGTAGTGCATAAACCTGTTAGGAGGAAGAAAACCCCAAATAGAGTTGTGTTTGATACAACTGCTGAAAACATTGTTTGGGAATTAGGACTGGTTTTTGGAACTGTTGAAGAATTTAGAGTGGCAGTGACAAGATATGCAATCCAATAACATATTCAAATTGAAAAATATGTAAATGAGCCTGGCAGAGTTAGAGTGAGATATTGTAAAGAGAGTTGTCCTTGGTTGTTGTGTGTAAGTAAGGATAAAACTAGTGGAGATTTCATTGTTAAAACATACAACCCTATCCATAAATGTTTGACATCAACTCATAACTACCTATGCAACTCAAAGTTTTTGGCCACCAAATACAAAGAAAGTACAGACTGTAAATGGTAGAGGTAGAGATAGAGGTACAGGTAGAGGAGCAGGATCAGGAAGAGAAATGGCTCAAGAAAGAAATGTGAATGAAGGACTAAGTAGAGGAAGAGGAATGACTCAACATAGTCAAACTAGTTCAGAAGCAAACTACAGTAGAGGAGGCCTAGGAAGAGGGAAGAGACCAGTAGAACATGAAGACACTAGTGGAGGACAAACAAGACCTTTTAAAAGGCCAAGAATGGTAGGTGTTGGCATATACCAAGCTAAAGATGGATTTACAACTCTCAATGTAAGTTTACAACTATCAATGCAAGTTTACAATTGTGATTGCAAACCTCAATGTAATTGTCTAATATTTGACTGTGTATTTATTTGACCAAGCAGCCTGAATTGCCAAGTAGAAGAGTCATCAATACTGGTACAAAAGTTACAAAGAGGGCTGATGTTGTCACTGGTGATATTGGCTACACACCAGTACGTGGATTCAAATGGAAGGGGAAGACAACTATTACAAGTAGCAATCTGGAAAGAATGAGGGCTGAAAAGGTTATCCAAACTAGGTCTGTAGCTGCTGCTAATGCTGCTAATAGCCAAGGCCAAACAACTTCAAGTAGAAAAACTTCTGTGCCATGGAAGTAGGGCATTTTGATGTTGTCTTGTTCATTTTGACAAACAAAATTTAACTAAGCATATATTTGTGTTGTTTTTTTATTGGAAACAAACTCAATTTTGGGTGTAACCAAACAAACTTGAATGGCTGGAATCAAACTCGATTATGAAGTCTTCTTTTTTGTCAGTTTTGTTATTGACTTTTTAATTGTAATTGACATATTTGTGAAGCTTCTCAAATGGTTGCCATGATAATATAGATTAGAGAACCAAATACATTAACTAATTGTTCAAATCATAACAATTTCGACAACAAAGAACAACAATAACTTGAACATTCAACAATCTTTCAAGTTACACACACCTACAACTAGCAAGATCAAGACAATTAGCTTCTAGGTACACACACCTACAATTTCAAAAATTTGAAAGTAACTAAACATGTCTATGGCAATTTTGATTGCACACACCTACAACCTCCATCCTTCACATTCTTGGTTAGACTTAAACATAGAAAACACACAATAATGATCAAGCCGATTAGCTTCAAGTTACAACATTTGCCCTTCTTTTTCTCCTTCATCATGACTTGGTTACTTTCAACACGACTTTCATAAGATGTCAATATTTCTTCCAACTCCTTAATTCTCTTTGCTATTCTCGGAATAACATACTTGGATCTTATATCAACTTTTCCTCGATCCCTCCATCTAAAGAAGTTGCACGCATCCTCCTAAAATACGCAAAACACAAATTAAAGAAAAATACATAAACAAAAGATCTCCATAAAAAAAATTAGTAAACATACACGATAGCGTGGACAAGACCAAAATCTTTGAGCTGGGTTATGCTCCGACCATGAAGTTTGCATTGATAGTAAGTCACCATGTTTGCATCGCAGTTTCACTCGCAACATCGGATCATTCTCATCATTACAAATACGATTCAACATTGCATTTGACATTTTCAATCAAAAACTAACCACAAAATTAAGAAGAAATTCAACCATAAAAAAACTTCAAATAAACGTTTATACTGGAAATTAAAAGAGAAAAGACGAATTCCTGCCTTATTTTCTCGAGGAAGATGAAGAAGTCGTCAAAAAGAGAGCACCAATATTGTTCTTGCTATGGAAATCAAAATTTTAGGGCTACCAACGGCTATTTTTGAGTTTAAATTGGGGAAGATACAAAAATTGATTAAATAATTAATATTAAAGAAAGAAAATGGCATGTGATTGTTTTAAAGTGGTAAATAAAAAGGAAAAATGGCCCATGACGCGCCTAACGTGCGTGTAAACAACCCAGATGAATTAATGGGTAAAAATGGCCAATTTACAACGATATATAGTTGTTTAGTGGTGTGATAGGACACTTCAAAAGTTTAGGTGTCTTTATGCAAATATGGGACAACTTCGATGGTCTCTTTATGTCTTTTCTCTATAAATATTTTATATCTGCACATTTGATTTTATTGCTCCACCACGCACAAAGATGGATACCCAAATGAGATTGAGGATAAATGTTAGATTTTCTAGCATTAGGGGAGATGTGTTTAGTAGCTGAAAATTATTTGTGGTGAATCATCTAGATCCTCATTAAAAAAATGTAAACTTGAAGTTCAATAGATGATTCATTTGCAAAACGTTTGATTTGCCAAATATATTTGTTGACACGATATTTAATTAAGCTGCAATTCTCAAATAAATAGTCCTTGAAGGTCAGAGTCTATGGTACACCAAAAGTGTTACAGACTTATTGATTCCAAACGTATAACTCCGTGAGAAAAGAGAGGAGAAAATTATCGAAATGATCATGATAATGAAGTAAGTGCTTTGAAAGAGTACTATGACATAACACTTCATAAGACATAAGCAAAGGTTCACGTACCTGAAATAATGAAAAATGAAGAGATCTCGATAAGTTACAAAAATCTTGGATTCAAATTTTTCATATATTGTAGCAGATAAATGATTGGCCAAATAAGATGCATTATTCAAATATATTTTGCTTCACTTAAAAAATGATGTTTTAAAATTGTAGTTCATAGATCAAAATATATATCAATTAGGTACGATGAATCATTATGTGAAAGTATAACCTTAAGATAAAGTATGATCTGTGTCTCAGGGCATAAAGGCTTTTGCGAAAATCCTGACATCATTAAATGGAGATACATTCTCTCGTGGTGAATGCAATGAGACTTATTTTTGTCTACCAATAGATAAAATGTTTGAATATGTATAATAAATGGTTATTATGTCTAACTAGATTATGAAGGTTATATGAAAATCTTTAAAGGATTTAAAAGGTTTTAAAGTAATTCCATTGAGTACCCAATGATTTTGAGATTGCTTAACATTTGATCTCATGAAATGATTTAAAATGTCATTTATTAGTGCACTGACAGATTGTTGGTTATGCAAATGTTAGAAGATTATTTGGTATACATAATGAAAGTTATGTAAAAGAATTGTCATTTTATCATTCAAGTTATGATAAGAAACTAACAAAGCAAGTGACTCAACGCATAAAAGACGTGTGATTTTCTTTCAGAAGAAAAGACGAGATCAATAAAATTGAAATGATCAATCTCCGAGTCAGAAATAATTTGATTGTGTACATGCAAAATATTTATTTGATCTGTATAAAGCTCGATTGCAAAAGGGTTATTTATTTATATATCAAGACACAATAATATCTTGGCATTCAAAGAATCACATTAATAACCACTTCTTCAGATCATGTAGAAATAATATTAATCCATGAATTAAGTCGAGAGTGTGTTTGGTTGGGATCATGACCTATCATATTCAAAAAAATATGTAATTTTCTTTTGAAAAGGATATTTCAGTCACCATATATAAAATAATATATAGTGCAATTGAATGGAGGACAATCAAATGAGATCGGACAAAATATATTTCACCGAGTCTTTTTCACATATGATTTTTAACTAAATGGTGAGATAGACATTCAAGGACCCGTTAAAGTGATAATCTTGTAAGCTTATTCACTGAGGATTGCCAACATCAATATTCGAGAAGTTGTGATACAAGATTGGAATGGATCGTCTCCAAGATATCAAGTAAAGTTTTTATCAAAGGAAGAAAAATACGGGTTGTACTCTTTTTCTTAATCATAATTTTATCCCATTTGGATTTTTCTGGTAGAATTTTTAACGAAGCAACATTCAAAACGTATTAAAGATGTGTACTTTTTTTCCTTCACTAGGATTTTTCTCACATGGTTTTTTCCTAGTAAGGTTTTAACGACGCATATTATCTATGGACTTTCAATTGGAAGTGTTATAAAATATTATAGTGTGAATGTCAACTACACTGAAAAGTAACTCTCACCCATTATCTCCATTACTTTCCTCTATTATGAAGAAAACTATAACCTCCACCTTTATCCCTTTATGTTAAACTATAAATAGAGGTATAAGGGTTCATATTGTATAGCCTCAAAGATAAGGTGTACACTTGAAAGAAAAAAGTTATCTCATGTTGTTTCTCTTGTTTTATTTTCTTCTTGTCTTCCTTTTTATATTAATCTTTGTTTTACAACAAATTATAGTTAAATAAGTACTTTGGGTTTTCATCCAAGGAGAAGGGGAGAACGATGATGATTTTGCACATTATTTGTGTGGGTGGATGAAATGAAAGCTCCTTTCTAGAGTATTTTGTGATAAAAATGTGTCATTAAGGCTTTTAAAAAGTCAGTTCTATAAAGTGATTATTAAAAGAATATTGTTGATCACAAAGGGATAGAGATAGTGCTCAAAAAGAACTTGTTAGTTAGGAGATGTGAGAGGTTGACTGTAGAAGATGTCAAAGGGAGTAGAGGTAGTACCCAAAAAAAACTAGGAAGAAAGGGACTAGATAGAACTTGACACAACTTTAACTTATATAGAAGAGGGATAGCCCCCGCCTTTCCTCGTTTTATTATTGTTTTATTTGCTTTGTATCTTGCTATTTAATTGTTATATTTTTCTTGCAATCCTATTTCAACAACAGCAGATTTATAAAAATAGACTCTCTAGTGTCTACCCCTTAACACTCGTTATTAGATAAAATTTAAAAAGTTGCCTATAATTTCATATGATAAATATTTCAGATTATATATTAATTTAAACAACACAAACCACAAAGTGATTCTTTACATCTTCTCAGTAATGTAACACTCACAAAACGGTCATTAGAGTAATAAACTATTTATCTAAACAATAACATATTTAGTATAATCTCACAAATGAAGTTCAGAGAGAATTTAACGTCAACGAACATTATCCTTACCTTTGTCAATAAAAGTGTTTCTCAAATCATTTAACCAATGATAAAGTGCTATGTTCAAAGGATACAATTTCCTGAAACTTCATTTTGACCAAAAAAATGTTCTAAAAGCTTGGCCAAACAGTTTATATGGAGAGAACAAAACTTAATCCTATTGACTGCTTGGACTAAAATTTATTACTAAAGTGAATACTGTAGTAGACAAAATGTTTCTCTTCTTTTCTATTTTGTGTGGGAGTTGCTAAATGGTATCTCTATTATAAGGGGAGAGTGAGATATATTGTTCACGGGAGTGTTTTTCTTATGTCCAGCCATGGTGTCTGAGCTAGCTTGCACACTTCATAAGGACCAACTAGTGCGGAACATCAATGCAGGAAAAGGAGTGGTTCCTTCATTCATCACATAGAGTAGACCTGGTTGCAACTTGCACTTCTTTCCTACTTTGAAATTGAGAAAGCTTTCAACTTGAAAATGGTTCCACTTTTCTGAACCATGTTGCAAACCACCAAGGCTCAATCCCCATCCAAAATCATCCACAGAGGTATCAGACATGGTAACTGCCCACTGCAAATATTTGGGATTTGATCTTTTTATCTGTACCCAGCCACCAATTTTTGTACTTTCATAAACTTCTGACTCTAGGGTCATGGCAAGTAACCCATCTAAGAGGCCGTTTTCCACCAAGGCCGCATCAGGATGCCCTGACCGTTGTAAAAAACTAAAAGGCAACGACATAGCTGCGAGTTCAGGCTGTGGACGTGATAGATTGGCCATTTTGTGTATGCCCAAGATTGATAGTTTTGAATTGCTTGAAAGTTGGCAAACAATTTGACCAAAAGTGCCAAAACAATACAGTTGACTACCAGGCTGTGGTGGCAATGCAGAGAAAAACTGAGCCAAGCAGGCAGCAATATTTGATTTTTTAACCATCACAGAGATTCCACTACCATTTAGCTGATTCAACAGGGGCGGCCCAAAAGATGAATAGTCAGTCAGCCCCCTTTCCTGCAAAATTCCACAAAAAAATTGTTATTCTAGGCTACACATTAAGGCAACTTTTTCTTCCTTGTTATGATTTCCCTCCCCCCACAAAATCTTCCTTGCCAACCTGTGAGAACTTTCGCACAACAGATCAGCAACTCAATATTTTCTTTTGGTTTTAGCGAGTACATCTGCAACTTCCTTTTACAGGTATTTCAACCTAACCTTTTTTTGGGAGGCCGGTAACAAAACTTTTGACCTTATTGCTTTTGCAACTTATTGGTGATACTGACAATACCAAAAAGAATCGAACATGGAATTGATAACTATGATCACAAATCAGAAAGCACATTCAGTATTCAGAAGCATTTACCTCACGTGAACTTGTAGGTACTGCAACATCTCTGCATCGACCACCGACTGGAATGGCAACTGCAGTACACCAATCACTGATATGTGCTGCATAAAGAACTTTTGCTAAGGAAAGTGGACTACCCAGGATACTCTTTTGGCCTCTTTCGCTGCCAACAAACTCTGCTACAAGTGTATCCTTTTCATGGATAGTTGTTTCAAAAGTCAGCCTAGAATCAATACCAGTCCTAATTGCATTTTCAATTGCATCGCATTTGGATTCATCAATGGTACCGATCATCAACAGTGCACCCACAGCATCAAATTCTCCTCTTACGTGAGTGCTAGTTTCTTGGAATGGACTTCCTTTAGAAGATTTGAAGAATGCAAGCTCTCGCTCCAACTTCTCTTGTCTATCTCTTAGCTTCATAATATCTGAAAAAGCTTCTCGCTGCAATCTCTTCAAGATCTCAATCTGTAAATGATATTATTGGAAGAGTTGTAAAGAACCATCATACAGGCAGTTTCTACATAAGAATTAGCAAATATGTCAAACTAAAGCTTCCCGAGGGGAGTGGAGTTGGGAAACAGTGTGATCCTACAGCTAATGAGAGTGACAAATCTCAACCGAACTATGTCAAAATAAATTTGATAGGTATATTTTTTTTTCTATCGATAAGTAAAAGGATCATTAAATGATATTTTTCTGTTACATATGTAAACTCTTTATTCAATATTATTTCCTGGGAAGCCACATAATACAGGCATCGTCATACAGCAGATAGAAAACATAAAAGACTTTGATCTAGCAACAATGGAAATGACAGGAAAAGATGGGAAAAAATAGACGAACTTGCAGAAACTAGATGAGGTTAGTGTACACAGCCAGAGCCTTCTCATACTTAAGAGACCCATCAGAGTAAAGCAGAGCCCAATAACAAAGCTTGTGGTAGCTGGCAAAGTAAGAATTTGACTGCTCAAGCTCTGAGTACTTCCTAAGGACACTGTTCCGCAGTTGAACGTTGCATAACAGGTAACAGATATACCCACTTTAGATCAATCGTACAAAAGTAGGGATGCGCACAATCTCACCTTCTAAAAAGAGCCAAAACTACCATTCTCACATAAGAAGTAACATTTTCATAACTTTTACTGTTCTGCCTTTAGATATTCATTTGCTTCAAATAAGATTCACATGAAGGAGTAACTGTTATCTTGAAGAAATGTTCAATTTCATACTTGTTTGGATTCCTCACTCTATATAACACTTACGGCACATTCTTTCTGCACATTCTTTTAGGATCTAGGTTGGGAAAATTTGAATACAATATATATGTGATCCAATGCTGTTCTCTTTTTCCCAAAACATCTATCAAACCTGTCCCAGTAGGGTGGCATAGAAGTCACAGAACCATTTTAACAATTTTCTTTTATGACTAAACTTCTTAAGGAGCCAGCCCTATGGGCCAACACCATAGCCTTCAAAACTCACGGATGATGGATTTTCCCCTTTAGTCTCTATACTTCTAGACTTAATTACAGGACTTAGTAGTTAGTTCACTTGGCACAGGACTCGAATCTGTGACTTAAGAACAAGTCCCTCAACCTTCCTCTTTTTAACAATCTAGGGAAGTAAGGTTCCAATCCTAATCATGACATGTGCAAAACTAAGTTCGTTCTTTCCATCAACCTAAATATTTTGGGACAAAGCTAATCAATACCATTGTTAGTCGAGGAACCCCTAAATACCATTGTTAAAAGAAACAAAAACAAAAAGAACATCTAGTGTCCATCCCAACAGAAATGTTGCATAGGGAAAAAATGAAATGCATCCGAACTAATACTTGAAAACAACATCATACCCAGTATAATCACACAATTGGGATCTAGGAAGGGTAGTGTATACACAGCTTACCCCTCTCTATATTATCACTTTTGATAATCGTAGTCAACTTTCAAGCACATCAACTAGTTCCACAAGATACCTAATACCTCACACAAGCAACAAACACCAGGTAACTCTAACCACAAGACTAAGACAGATAGCAAGAAATCACCAGTATTTTTTGTCTAACAGCTCACACAATCGACAAGCATTAAGTAAATTTGTCCATTAAAGATAAAACAGATAACAAAAAATCAATGATGTTTTTGTAACAACTCACACAAGCAATCCTTCAAAGCTAGAACAGATAACAAGAAATCACTAGTGTTTTTGTCTAACAACTCACACAAACAACAAGCATCAAGTAAATTTGTCCATCAAAGCTAGAACAGATAACAAGAAATCAGTAATGTTTTTGTAAACAACTCATACAAGCAACAAGCATCACGTAACTCTATCCGTCAAAGCTAGAACAGATAACAAGAAATCACTAGTGTCTTTGTCTAACAACTCACACCATGTAACTCTATCCACCAACACTAAAACAAATAGCAAGAAATCACTAGTGTTATTGTCTAACAACTCACACAAGCAACAAGCACCAGTTTATTCTAACCATCAAACTAAGACAGATAGCAAGAAATCACCTAGTCTTCATTGACAGCTTGGCCACATTGTAGGCCAAAATTTACCGGAAAAAGAAAATACACAGTTAATTTACCGGATTGGAAACTTCGCGGTTGCGGAATACGACGGAAGCCAAATCCTGCGTAGATTTTGCAAAGGATTTTAACTTGTCTACAACTGAAACAGCTCCTTCTTCCATTTTTGAAAACCTAAATGTATGAATCACAAGAAGGAAAAAAAAAGCTTCGATGAGTTGTGTTAATGGCGTTTCAACAATGGAATTTCAGTTTTTCTCTACTCTTCCGCCATAACTGTATGGTACAAGTTTGTTACAGAGAAGATGGAAATGAAAATTGCTATATATATAAAATTTAATTTAGATATATTGCGATATTTTAAAATCAAGAAATTAATTATGTTAACTTTTATCATGTTTTAAAAAATTATATATTGAAAAATAAATTATTTTTATAATTTTAGTGAAAAATAAATTATTTTTATAATTTTAGTGATTTCTAAGTATATATGATATAAACGTTTTGTCGAAACTTAAAAAGTGTTTGACATGAAGATACAAATATATATACTATATTAGTAAAATTATCGCGCCTCGCGTGAAAATTTAATATCAGAGAATTTATATAATAATATTTTAAATCCATCAGTCACTAAGACTAAAGTACTATATTATCTCATATACGAAATTATTACGTGATAACAAACATTAATAATGTAAAGAAAATGAAATTTATTACATCCTGTCATTTATCCTTGCTAACATAAACATAATTTAATGACTAAATAAATTATACCAAAATCTGTAATATGAGCATTCATCATTGAGTCACTCAACAGGGACAAAGTACATAAATATTTAATTGTGAAGAAGAAGAAGAGGAGGAGGAGGTGGTGGTTTAGAATTTTCGTTGTTTTAATGTGAAAGGAAATCACTTTATTTATAAACAACAAAGAGTATCGTGCACAATTGTTTGTTATACCTTATCTGAAAGGTTACAACTATTTGAAAAAGTTACAACCTTTCGAAAGGTCACAACCTTTCATAAAAGTCACAAATTTTCATAAAAATCACAATTTTTAATGAAAATCGTAATTCTTCATAAAAGTCACAACTTCTCTTTAAAAGTCACAACTATTCATTAAAGTCACAACTTTTTATAAAAATTGGATTTTTTCATGAAATGAGAAGGCTACTTTTAGAAATAAATAAATTTAAAAAAGAATTCTGATTTGTGGTGGTGTCACATAGGCGGATCGGAGGTTTTCTTTTTTATATATATGATTTGTCCTTTATTATTAATTTTTTAATAACTTTTATCAAATAATTTTTAATAACTTAATTGATTGGTTCGATTAATTATTTTATAATGACTTTTTCCATTTTCTCATTTCTTTCCTTTGTTCAAAAAAAGAAATGGAGGCGAAAAAGAAAAAATAGGATAAAAAACTACAAGAATAAAAATTGAATTCTCGCCCTCAATTTAAAATAAACAATCTATAATACATATTATTGACCCCGCAACTATTTAAGAAATTATAAAAATAGGATGATAATTTTACTATATCATGAATATATTTTTTCTATCTCTTGTTTACTTTTTTTTTTTTTGTCTTTATTTATTTGTCCATTTTGATAAATTAAAAAAAAAATTACCTATTATATCCTCAATAAATTACTTTGAAAAAAAGCAGAATTTTTTGAAAATCTTAAATTTTTAATTCATTCACTTTATAATTATTATGGGTAAAATAGTAAATTCATTATGTCAATCATTGTTTTTTTAAATAGGTGTATCAATTCAAAAGAGGATAAATAATTGAAGACAGGAATAATAAATATAACATCTTATAAAATGTAATTAGAAAATAATTATAATTAATGACAAAAATAAATTAGAAATTAAATATAAAATTATTCCTCATTTCTTTTTATTATGATTCTACACAATTATTTAAAAAATTAACAAAAAAATACAATTCGTCTAATATATCCCTACTGGCTATTTAGTCTTGCTCACATAAATAATATTCAATTATTATGGAAATAATATTTGTTAACAGGCTATTGAATTTACACTTTAAATAATCATTGATTGATTATTCTGTTATAGGATTGAATTATAGGCAAAGAATACCGAAAGTTTAATAACATAACTTTATAATAAAACTAAAAATTTCTACACTGCTCAATGAAAAAGATAGCCATTCTCTTTCTGAATGAAATTTTTGTGCCTCCAAATTTTAGTTTAAATAAAAATTATTTCATACTATATGATTGGAGTTACAGAGTATATCACGTAGATTAAATATTTATTTATGTGGTATTTAAATATCTCTCACACGTTTTAATAGTGTGAAATCACGAAATGTGTCATATAAGTCAAGTATCTCTCGCGTGGCATCCATATATCTCTTGCGCGTCTCAACTGCGTAGAATTAAGTGTGTCACGTAAGTTAAAAGATATACAAAATTACAAAAAAGAAAAAAATCAGTTGAGGGGTAATAGAATATGTGTCTCTGAAACTTCAAATCTTTGATGCATCGTAGTTTTGGGACCCTTACATCAAACTTTGAACGAAAGAATCGAAGTTCAAAATTAAAGAATTCCGATATCAAATCAATTTTTTGATTTTCCGATATGTATGCTCACCCATAATTATATAGCGTCATCCCTAATGGATATGAAATAAATATTCGAATTTAGTCGGGGCTCCTCCGAAAGAAAAGAAAAAACTTTCCTTTTTGTCACTTCTCCCCCTTATTTTCCTAAATCCAAGCAAAATGCACTAAAATTTTATCCCACAAATTCCTCATCCTCACTCAAAATTCCAACCCACATGTTTACTTCAGTCCCAACTCCATAATCAGCCGAAAAGCAATCTTTTTTGGCTCATGATTATACATTTCTTATGCAGAACTTGTTCAGATTGTGCTCATGTAAGTTTTTGCATATAAATTTACTTTCTTTTTTTCCATGGGTGTGATTGTACTTAGCTCCTCAGCAATTTGCTGCAATAATTTCAATTGTGTATCTGTTACTGAGACTAGACAATCTACTGGTGGTAATGGGTGGTTGAATTGTGATAAAATTAGGAAAAAACATGTGGGTTCTTCAAGATTTGTGATGAAATGTTCCAATGATGTTGTGTTGGCTGGGAACTTGAATTTTTTCCCAGGTGGGTCTGTGGTGAATTGTGATACAATTAGGAAAAAACATGTGGGTTCTTCAAGATTTTTTATGAAATGTTCCAGTGATGTTGTGTTGGTGAATGGGAAACCTAGAAATGGCATATCTGCTGAGGGAGTATTGAGGAACTTGAGGTCGATTTCGGAACCAACTGAGGCTTTAGCTTTGTTTAAATCCGTAGCGGAGATGCCTAGGGTTGTGCATACGACAAAGACATGTAATTACATGTTGGAGTTTTTGAGGGTTCTTGAAAGGATTAATGATATGGCGGTAGTGTTTGATTTGATGCAAAAACAGATAATATATAGGAGTTTGGATACTTATTTGATTATATTCAAGGGTCTTCATATAAGGGGAGGGATACGCGAAGCTCCGTTTGCCCTTGAAAGGATGAAGAAAGCAGGGTTTGTGTTGAATGCGTACTCGTACAACGGGTTGATTCATTTGATTCTTCAAGCAGGGTTTTGGCAGGAAGCTTTAAAGGTTTATAGAAGGATGATTTCAGAAAAGCTTAAGCCTAGTCTTAAAACATACTCTGCGCTAATGGTTGCCTGTGGTAAAAGAAGGGATACTGAAACAGTCATGAGACTGTTAAGCGAGATGGAGGGTCTGGGATTAAGACCGAATATTTATACTTTTACCATTTGCATTAGAGTGCTTGGAAGGGCTGGAAAGATCGATGACGCTTGTGCTGTATTAAAGAGAATGGATGATGAAGGTTGTGCTCCAGATGTTGTTACTTACACAGTCCTCATTGATTCTCTTTGCATTGCTGGCAAGCTAGATATTGCTAAAGAAGTCTTTTTCAGGATGAAAGATGGGTGCCAAAAACCTGATCGAGTGACTTACATCACTTTGCTAGATAGGCTTAGTGATCGTGGTGACTTGGACTCTGTAAGGGACTTCTTGGACAGGATGGAGGCTGATGGTTATAAAGCGGATGTCGTCTCTTTTACCATACTTGTTGATGCTTTGTGCAAAGTAGGTAAGGTAAGTGAAGCATTTTCTACATTAGATGTAATGAAGGAAAAGGGGATCTTACCGAATCTTCATACTTATAATTCATTGATTAGGGGCCTACTAAGAAAGAAGAGAGTTAATGAAGCGTTGGAGCTGTTTGATAGCATGGAATCTCTTGGAGTCGAGGTTACAGCTTACACGTATATCCTGTTTATTGACTACTACGGAAAATCAGGTGAGCCTGATAAAGCACTTGAAACATTTGAGAAGATGAAAGCTCATGGAATCGTGCCTAACGTTGTTGCTTGCAATGCATCTTTGTATAGTGTAGCAGAAATGGGAAGGCTTGGAGAGGCGAAAAGAATATTTGATGGAATTAGAGAGAGTGGATATGTTCCAAATTCTATCACCTACAACATGATGATGAAATGCTATAGTAATGCAGGGAAAGTTGATGAAGCCATTAAATTACTCTCCGAAATGATAGAAAGTGGTTGTGATCCTGATGTGATTGTAGTCAATTCATTGATCGACATACTTTATAAGGATGGTCGGGCTAGTGAGGCGTGGGCATTGTTTTACAGATTGAAGGATATGAAACTGACTCCTACTGTTGTGACCTACAACACTTTACTGGCTGGATTAGGAAAAGAGGGGAAGATTCGAGAGGCCTATGAGTTACTTGATTGCATGGCTCTTCACGGATGTGCTCCAAACACAATCACTTACAATACTCTTTTAGATAGTCTATGCAAGAATGGTGAGGTTGACACGGCCTTGACATTGCTTTATCAAATGACAGGACCAAATTGCTTTCCGGATGTTTTCAGTTATAACACTGTAATATTTGGGTTGGCCAAAGAAAAAAGGGTAACCGAAGCATTTTTGCTATTCCATCAGATGAAGAAGAAAATGTATCCTGACTGTGTAACTGTATATGCTCTTCTACCTATTCTTGTGAAAGACGGTTTAGTTGAGGATGCTGTTAAGATTGTGGACGGTTTTGTTAACCAGGCTTTGAACAGGTCAGATAGATCCTTTTGGCTGCAACTGACGGAAGGTGTTTTGGGTGAAGCTGAATTAGATCATTCCATTTCTTTCGCGGAAAAACTGGCATCATATCATATTTGTAGAACTGACGTAATAATAGTGCCTGTTATTAGAGTCCTTTGCAAGCAA